CCACACACCCACCATCCACCATCCATCAATCCATCCACACACCCACCATCCACCATCCATCAATCCATCCACACACCCACCATCCACCATCCATCAGTCCAACCATTCATCCACCATCCACCATCCATCAGTCCAACCATTCATCCACCATCCACCATCCATCAGTCCAACCATTCATCCACCATCCACCACCTATCAATCTATCCACACACCCACCATCCACCATCCATCAATCCATCCACACATCCACCATCCATCAGTCCAACCATTCATTCACCATCCACCACTTATCAATCCATGCACACACCCACCATCCACCATCCATCAATCCATCCACACATCCACCATCCACCATCCATCAGTCCATCCATTCATCCACCATCCACCACCTATCAATCTATCCACACACCCACCATCCACCATCCATCAATCCATCCACACATCCACCATCCATACATCCATCAATCCATCCACACATGCACCATCCACCACCCATCAATCCATCCACACACCCACCATTCATACATTCATTCATCTTCCATCTGTACACCATCAATCCATCTGTTTTCTCCATCTACCCATCATACATCCAACCTGCATGGTCCATCCTCCATCCACATATATACATCCATATATACATCCTTTGTCTCTCCATCCATCTACCCTCCGTCTGTCCAGGAATCCATCCACATACATACATATAGGTATCCTCCATCATCCATCCACCCTCCATTCATTCACCATCCATTCATCCTTCACCACTCATCCACCCATCATCCATTTATCCATCCATTCTCCTTCTACCCTCCATCTATCCATCCACCATCCTCCGTCCACCTATCCATATGTTCATCCTCCCTCTGTCCATCCATCCAGGATTCATCCATTCCCTATTCACCTATTCATCCTCATCCATCTGTCCTTCTATATCTATCCACCCACATCCCCATTCATCTATTCATTCATCTATTTATCCATCATCTACCCAGCTATCCTCCATTCATCCATCCTTTACCGATTCATCCATCCATCACCATCCACCCTCCACCCATCCACCCTCTGTTCATTAATTTATTCGTCCACTCTTCATTCATCCATCCACCATTCATTCATCCATGTATCCATTTACCAGCCTCCACCCATTATCCATCTATCTATACATCAGTTCACATATCAACACCTCCATATTATTAATACATCTTCTATCTGTCCCCCGTCTTTCCTCCATTTATTCATCTATCCATCCATCCATCCCTTTCACCGTCCTTCTATCCTCCATACATTTCCCCACCCCTCAGGGCCTTGTATGGATAGGGATCCCTTCTCTCCTTACGGGCCTATCACCTGCAGAGCAGTGAGAAAGGCCGAGGGCTGACCTGGCTGTGCCTGCCCCTCCTGAGGACCTGGTGGCTCCATTACAGCTGCAGGTGGTGAAGCTCTACCCCAGAGTCGGGGGGGCTGGGGTGTGAGACACTCTGGGGTCCCCATCATGGGCCCTTGGGAGTCGTATTGGGCACCCTCTGATTCACAGCTAGAGAAACTGAGGCTCCAGAAGGCGCCTGGGTCACAGAGAGGATGGACTGGCAGCATCAGGGACAGCTCTGCCTAGTTCTGTTTCAGGGCTCCCTCCAGTCCACAGCTGTCCACCCAGGCTCACCACTTACCGTGACTGTCCTGGAGCCATCACACAGCCTGGAGGTCACTCTCACAGAGCACCGAGGAGACTGGGGACCAGAGGACAGTGGCCAGCTTCACACTCAGAACATCCCGTGGAGAACCCAGGCAGTTCCTCCGATGAGCCAAGGGTCTCCTTCAGGCCTTACTGTGCAGCCATTGTTAGATTTTTAGTTGTTGTTAGACACGATACCTCCATTTTTATTTATTTTTATGTGGTGCTGAGGATCAACCCCGCGCCTCGCACCCGCTAGGCGAGCACTCCACCGCTGAGCCCCAGCCCCAGCCCCTGTGCTGTCTTTTCAGTCAAACTGCTCATTCTCCTTATGACTCAGGTCCTCACTGTGGATCCTGAGTCACAGTTTCCTCCTGTGGCCCCTGGAGCTGGCAGCCAGACCCGACGCAGGCGGCAGCTGGACCTGAGAGTGCCCATATCCTCAGGGGAAAGTCCTTGGGCCCTAAGGAAAGATTGACCCTACTGAGAAAGACCACCCAGCTGTCCCCTCTGGATTTAAGCATTCATAAAAAATGCAGGAAAAAAAGAAAAAAAAAACCAAGTATTGAAAGCATTTCACAACCAGGAATATTTGATCTTCTCTAGAGGAGGGGGCACAGGCGGAGCACTGACTTTAAACAAAGAAAGGGTATACTAAAGGCCCACCCACTAGCCAAGGTGCCCAGCTTGACCTCCTAAACTTTCCTCACTATGGAGATGTGGTCAAGGCCCACCCACTAGCCTAGGTGCCCAGCTGATCCTCCTAGACCTTCCTCACCATAGATGTGGTCAAGGCCCGCCTGCTAACCTAGGTGCCCAGCTGATCCCCCTAGACCTTCCTCACCATGGATGTGGTCAAGGCCCACCTGCTCATAGACATGCCAAGACTCTTGGGGGTTCCCACTTCCCCGATTTGGGAGAAGAAACAGAGTCCATAGGTAATCCCCAAATCTCTTTTAGGGCAGAGTTACAATTTCTGTGAAACTCCTCAAAATAATATTACCAGTGGGCAATGTAATTGCACTACTTCACTCCCATCCATTCATCCACCATCCATCGTCCATCAATCCATCCACACACCCACCATCCACCATCCATTAATTCATCTACACACCCACCATCCACTATCCATCAGTCCATTCATACATCCACCTCTGCCCAGCTCAGCTGATCCTCCTAGACCTTCCTTACCATGGAGATGTGGTCAAGGCCCACCTGCTAACCTAGGTGCCCAGCTGATCCCCTAGACCTTCCTCACCATGAAGATGTGGTCAAGGCCCACCTGCTAGCCAGGGTGC